CTGTGATCCTGATCCACTCTCGTAACCCGTCCAGGAGCCAGATTTTCCTCCATGCTCCGAGTCCTCTAGGTAGCCAAAGAGGGGGAATTGTTCAAGCCCTTCCTTTTCATCACTTCGGCAATTGACCAATTGACAACTGATTGATGGTTATCCTTTCATACCTACAAAGGCGGAAATTACCATCACTAAAGCGACGTACTGTAAAAGCCTCAAGAGTAAATTACATGTTGCTAAAATTCCCCTTCACTCAGCCCTACACAATGGCAAGCAAACAAAAAAAAAAGTTTCCTTTTTGCCAGTTCTGTGCCACTGTAGATTTGGCCTTCCCTGCCAAGTGCAGAAAGAACTTGACAGCTTCTTTAAATGGTGCGGCACAAAAGCTCTTGAATGAGGGATGGTACCCGGGCAGGACTGCCATTCTGCAAAAGCACCGCCATTATTTGCATTGAAAACAGAGAGGCTTGAGAAGAACAGATAAGACATATCTGAATATGAGCTGGGACACTCCAGCTAACCCCCGGGAGGGGGATCTTCCTCTTAAGGAATTGCAATTCATTCCAAGTAAACAGCGTGTAGAAGAACAACCGGTCGGCCACTGCTGTATAGCCCGGTGTTTTTTGTTTTAAATGCTAATTGGATGACGGCGATTGCTGTGAACTCCATTCAGGATTTTCACGTAAACACAGTACACATCCATATGAACTTTTCCACTTAAAAATAACCAATTACACAAAATAAAATTCCTTATAAACGTGGCCAGCATTTTTTTTTTTTATTTAAGCCTGAAAGGCCTGAGAAAGTAAGAAAGGAATGGGAGGGGATGTCTAGAGCCTGCGAGTCTGCCCTGCTGCCAACAAGAGCCAGTGCTTTCTTTGGATATGGGAACAATCCAAAAAGAAAACCCTTTTCAAGGCCTTTCAATCGCAGCAGATGGGACCCAACCAAGAAGGCATCAACTTCGGGAAAGAGTAGTCCATTCGCTGACGGCGGTGTAAGAGGGGCTTCTATGCTCGCCTTCGAACATTTAAGCGCATTACTGAAACAGAGGACCTAATGTGGCCAACATATTTAAAGTCTCTCAAAGTGACCTACAAGTCATGATGGATAGCAGAACAGACTTCAGTTCAAAGAGAAGACTTTCTCAAGTCTGAGGGAGCTACCCAATTGTTTCAGCTAACCTTTAAACCCAACGAAAACCAGATTGCAAATGTTTGCAGTATAGACCATTTCAATGTGGAGATTTCATTGGCTCATGAACATTTCCTGCTTGTTATTAAACCATTTCAACTGTAACAAAAGGCAATTCAATCATAATTTAATCTTAAAACAGCTCTCTTAATGTTATTTATTAGTACGTGGCTCTTTTCAGATTCTGAAAAGCGATAGAAATCAAAAATGTAAAACAGGAAATACATAGGGACCACTGTTATTGTTTACATCCCTCATATAATGATCTATCGAAAAACAAAAAGTCTGAGTTTACAAGAAATCGTTTGTTCATCTATCAGTCATTTAGGGTGGAGCTATCAGTCGTTTAGGGTCTGGCTATCAGTACTTTAGGGCGGTGCTATTAGTACTTTAGGGTGGAGCTATCAGACATTTAGGGTGGAGCTATCAGTCGTTTAGGGTGGAGCTATCAGTACTTTAGGGTGGTGCTATTAGTACTTTAAGGTGGAGCTATCAGACATTTAGGGTGGAGCTATCAGTCTTTTAGGGTGGAGTTATCAGTCATTTAGGGTGGGCCTATCAGTACTTTAGGGCGGTGCTATTAGCACTTTAGGGTGGAGCTATCAGTCCTTTAGGGTGGAGCTATCGGTCTTTTAGGGTGGAGCTATCAGTCATTTAGGGCGGAGCTATCAGTCTTTTAGGGTGGAGCTATCAGTCATTTAGGGTCGGGCTATCAGTACTTTAGGGCGGTGCTATTAGTACTTTAGGGTGGAGCTATCAGTCCTTTAGGGTGGAGCTATCAGCCATTTAGGGTGGAGCTATCAGTACTTTAGGGCGGTGCTATCAGTAATTTAGGGTGGAGCTATCAGTCATTTAGGGTGGAGCTATCAGTCATTTGGGGTGGAGCTATCAGTACTTTAGGGTGGAGCTATCAGTCATTTAGGGTCGGGCTATCAGTACTTTAGGGCGATGCTATTAGTACTTTAGGGTGGAGCTATCAGTCATTTAGGGTGGAGCTATTAGTCATTTAGGGTGGAGCTATCAGTCATTTGGGGTGGAGCTATCAGTACTTTAGGGTGGAGCTATCAGTACTTTAGGGTGGTGCTATTAGTACTTTAGAATGGAGCTATCAGTCATTTAGGGTGGAGCTATCAGTCATTTAGGGTGGAGCTATCAGTACTTTAGGGTGGAGCTATTAGTCATTTATGGTGGAGCTATCAGTCATTTAGGGTGGAGCTATCAGTCATTTAGGGTGGAGCTATCAGTCATTTAGGGAAGGGCTATTGTTAATTTGAGGCTTTGTTATCAGTCCTCTAGGGTGGAGCTATCAGTTATTTAGGATGGGGCTATCAGTACTTTAGGGTGGGGCTATCAGTCATTTAGAGCAGGGCTATTGTTCATTTAGGGCGGTGCTATCAGTCCTTTAGGGTGGAGCTATCAGTCATTTAGGGCGGTGCTATCTGTTATTTAGGGTGGAGCTATCAGTCATTTAGGCTGAGGCAATCAGATCTTTTGGGTGGAGCTATTAGTCATTTAGGGCAGGGCTATCATGCATTTAGGGCGGTGCTATCTGTCATTTAGGGTGGAGCTATCAGTCATTTAGGCTGGAGCAATCAGTACTTTAGAGTAGAGTTTTCAGCCATTTAGGGCAGGGCTATTGTTCATTTAGGGCGGTGCTATCAGTCTTTTAGGGTGGAGCTATCAGTCATTTAGGGTGGAGCTATCAGTCATTTAGGGTGGAGATATCAGTATATAGAGCAGGACTAGGGGCAGGGGCATGTTTCTGCCTTATTAGGAGTGGTTGAAACAAATATGATACGATTCTATCTGTAAAATGTAGCCCTTCGTTCTCATCATCATCATCAGCATCTGAAAACAGCATCTGCACCAGAGGGTGCCAATGGTGATTCTGGTGGACAGTAAACAAACAAACTGCCATTGAAGTAATCCTACATTTGTTAGCAGTGCCCTTTCAATGATCCGGTTGGTTCCCAAAGCATAAAGTCATGCACAACCCCAACATTTTTTTCTTATTTCAGTTTTGATTTGATGTCACAATAAGGGGGGGGGGGGGGGGGGGGGGGGACACACGCTTAACTTCTATTTCATGCTGACCTTAACCACAGTACTAAAATATGTGAAGGGAGGCTCCAGTCATTCAACAGGAATCTGCAAATTGAAGGTAAAAATTCCTCATGGGGATTTTTTAAGTTGGCCATGCAAATGTGCCACACTAATCAATAGTTGCTGTGTATAAAAGTGTGCGGGGCAGGAGCTGTGCTACATACAGTCAGAAATGAGAGGCGCAATCCAAAACGTCCGAGAAACTGCTTCAGGTGGAATTATTAAACACTATCCCAAACCATTTGCTAAAAATGTCAGCTTCAAGCTCTTCAACAAAAGCTGATGGAAGTGCCTGAACATGATGATATTCAGATTAGATAATGTGCTCCCGCTCCAAAACATCTTTGATTTGTTTTATCATTTGCACCGAAAGATGAGATGTTTTTTTTTTTCTTATGTTTTATTAATGGATCTCAGCGGGGAACACTCAAATGGATATCAACAACTGGATAAGAGCAGAGGAGACGCCAGCGGTGTTGACACAAACCCCATGCTGGCTCGCACCTCTCGTGTGCCAATCTGTGCACTTTAATTGTTCACTCGCTCAATGAATACATAAATAGGTCCCAGGATCTGGTCACGGTAATGAAGCTATTTTTAGTCTCAAATTGCTGCTTCACGTTTGAATGGAACATCTTCTGTGATCTTTTTTTTTCCCATTTCGCTCCACACATACGCACTCGGGTTTATCTGCAAACACACATTAGGATTAATGTAATGGGTGTGAAATAAAATTCGGTTTTAATGTGTTACAATGCAATAAAGCCAGAGTGATGAAACATGATGCAGATGTCAAGGCTGGATCGATTTAAAAGCCACTTTTGAGAATATGTTGTGCTTCAAGGACGCTCATCAGCAGCCTGACGAACTCAAGGTCAAGTCTGTCCCTGTCCCTGACCTGGGGTCAGCTATATAAACCCGTCTGCAAACACAAAGGCACAATCTCCTCTATCACATCCACTAAATACTGCTAAACTTCTGCGCCAAACTTCATATATAATAAACATTTCATATATATTAGCTCCACTCATCAAAGATGTTTTCATTAACCTGAAGACTCATTCATTTGTTCATTTTCTTTTCGGCTTAGTCCCTTTGTTAATCTGGGGTCGCCACAGCGGAATGAACCGCCAACATGTTTTGCGCAGTGGATGCCCTTCCAGCTGCAACCCATCTCTGGGAAACATCCATACACACTCATTCACACTCATACACTGTGGACAATTTAGGCCCTGTTTACACTAATGTGTTTTAGTTTGAAAACGCATAGGTTTTGCTTTGGTTACGCCATCTGTCCACACTACGCCGGAGTTTTCGTGCGTCGAAAACGGAGCGTTTTGGAAATGCTGGAGAGGCCGTTTTCATTCTGAAATGCTGCTGCTCCGTCTCAGTGTGGATGAGGGAAAACGGAGACATTTGAAAACAGAGGCGGGGCTGCTGAGATTCGCTAGCTGATTGGGGCTTTTGTGTCATTGCGTATCCTTCCCTTATTCGTCAATGCCCCTATCACATGACTATAACACATGGCTTTAACGCTACCGGAAGACAGCAGACCAGCCTTCACTGTAAACAACAACATGGACACAGAAATGGGAGCGTTGTTTGCACTATTGTCTGTTTTAGGCGGCATTGTGCAGTTATTAATTTGTTACGTTTAGTAACTCGACCTCGTCGTCTGTCAACAAAAATGCCTCTCTTGCTTTCTTTGCCATCGCATTTATTGTTCAACCGGCGTTTGTTGACTAACAATAACCAAATGCAGAGTGAGACGCATGCTTTCTGTTTATACTAGAACGCGCATGCCCAGAGTGTGCGAATGGTCACGTGATATACGTTTTTGGTGGTGTAGTGTGGACGGAGATATGTTTAG